AAATGGAAAATAGTTGTATGGAACACAAACAAAAAATAAGAAAAAACCTTGAAAACTTTATTAAATAAAATCAATTTTAAATGGTCTTTTTTTTTGGGCAAACAATTTTAAATGATCATGTTCTTTAATTTCATATTCGGCTGATTAAGAAACTGGAGAAAAGAACCACGAAAAGATGCAATAAAAATATTAAGAATATCCAAATGAATATTGTTCGAGTTTCCAAAAATCAACCCATATTAGATAGGTTAATACGTACATTGCAAATAAATAGTTCTTTGCTATCAATATTTATAAGCTAATGTAATTAAAAAAAAATGTACAATAATTACAAAAATAATCAAGGTCAAACGTTGATAAATATTTTTTAATTGTTTTCTATGTCATTATATTAATTTTATATCCGTGCAATGCGTGGGTCATACCTTAGTTGTATCATATTTGGAAGTAAACCTCTACATTGTTGTTGATTTTTTTTTTGGTTGTCTAAATGATTTTAAAGATTACACACATTAAAAAAAAAAACAGTACAATAGCTGCACTATATTGTAGTATTTCGGTACTATTTCCAAAAAGACGTGATAAAAAAAGGTAAAAACATCTTCAATGATGGGTTCTAACAAAAATTTTTAAGTTTAAACAAAAAAACAATAATAATAATATTTTAGTAGATAAATATCTCAAATAGTATAAAAACTCATCTAAGAGTTTTTTTTGTCAAGAACTCCATAAAAAAGTGTCTCCACTATTTAAAATACACATTTATTAAATTATTATTTAAAAAATGGTTAAACTTAGAATCCCATGGTAGAAACTTACCATTGAGAATGCTCAAACGAAGGTGGTGCAAGAGTAGAAGTCATCGACCGGCCCATAACGTCGTCTTTTGACCTTTTTTTCTTCCATATGATATTATGGCCGGTTTTGTAAAGATTAGTCTCTATTTTTTCTTTTATTTGTTTCGCTTATCAATTTCTGTTGACCATATACTATAAAACAACTTTTCATTTATGAGTCTCTGACTATATTAGTATAGTACCAATCATAACCTAGACAAAATATTTAAAATTATGATAAACATGGTAATTGACAAAATGATTAGTAGAATATAATACTAGTAAGTTGTGTATAATTATGTACACAACTTGTTGGTCTTCAAAGTCGCTTCACAAATGGCCATGTCTAATTAATTGTCGGATGTCATTAAATAGACATAGTTTGTTGACCTTTCAAAGCCACCCTATGGGAAAATAATATATCGAGTATTGAACAAACGAATCTCTGATATAATAACGTTAAATTACCTTTCGAATATGGTATAACTTATCTTTAGAATTCAGTGGAAACAAGAAACTTCTTTTTAGAAGAATATGACCAAGTACCAAATTATAATAGGTCTTCTGAGCCGAATGTTGATTCCACTAGCTTTATCCCCATTACTTTTGTTTTTTTATCCCTAATTTATTTGGTTAAGTATCTGATATTTTTTTCCATCAAATATTTATTAATCAACAATCTACAAAATACGGCTAAAACGTTTGTGAAGAGTCCATTAACGTATCTTGTGTTAACCCCAATACCGAGTCCATTAATACTATTATTGACGATCATTTGCAAGAAGTTATAAGCCTTTCCTTACGATTTCATATATTTTTAATGAAAGTATATTGTACAACAATCTTACGCTCAAATTTTTTTTTTTTTTTAAAACAACAAACTTACGCTCAAACTACAAAAATAAATTCGCACTTATTTTAATATATTTGATGTTATTTGCGGATCCGTAAATTATTCTTGGCTATTAGAGCATCCGTATTGGTGAATTTTGGTGGGTATCATTAAATATAAAATTATTAAAATTTGAGTAAAAGGAAGAAAGAGAGTGTTTTTGGTTGAAATAATGGGGTGTATTGAAATATAAAATTAATAAATTTGAGTAAAGAGAAGAGATAGTGGGTATTTTTGGAGAGAGAGAGTATCAAAAGTATCAAATAATTGATATTTTTGAAGAGAGAAAGAGTATGTTTTTAATAATTTTATATTTAAAGAGAGTATAAAATTAATAAAAGTTGAGTAAAAAGATGAAAGAGAAGGTATAAAGTTAAGTAAAAGAAAGAGAGAGTGTGTTTTTAATAATTTTATATTTAATGATACCTTCAAAAGTTCATGGATACGGATGGTCTTAGGGTCTTAAAATCTTGAGACAAGATTAAACTTTCAAAACGAAAAAAAAAATTTAATCAATACCACATTGCAAATTAGGCCATTTCAACTCAATTATGATACTTGTATTTAACTTAATCTCTGTAATGTTTTTGTTGTTGTTAAGATAATTCCTATAATCAGTGGTGGATGTAGAAAGTATTTTTATCCGGGGCAAAAGTAAAAAATTATAAAAAAAAAACCCACAAAATAACATATCAAGAAAAACATTATTAAAAATCTTTAAAGAATTGAAAAATTTATGGTGGGCAAATACCCCACCTTTTGTCTCACTGCCTCCGCCCCAGCCTATAATGTTACACCTTTTACTTTTTAAAATGTTACTACTTTTACTCGGTAGAAAAATATATTTATTCAATTAAGCACAAAGCCACAAACCAATCTAAATTTATTAAAGTGGCGTAATTATGTTGTCAACTTCACGCCCTAACAGCTAGTCATCGGTTACTTAGTACGTACACAAAGACACGACTCCTGAGACAAAGCTCGTGGCTTTGTCGATTTCTATATTTTTTAATCATATACTTATTTCACCCTCCTCTTCCTCATTTTATTACACAATTTGCCACCCCACTTCTATGAATGGTAAATTGAGTCCGTTGCACCGGTTTATCTAACGTACAAGCCCGGTTCGATCCATCGCAGTCGCAACAAAAATGTTCTAAGACTAATTATTGTTGATGTTTTTTTTCTCCTTCACGATAATTATAAGTTTTATAACTATGTTGAAAGACGTTACTAATTCAGTTTGAATATATACAAACTGATTGACTAAGATTATTTCATTTTCATCGCATAACATTGAATTTGATTTAGAACTAAAACAAATTCGTTTTTATTTATTGATAACCGGAAAAATAAGACCAATTAATCAGAACCAAACCGACTTGTACATTAATAATCACCATAAATTAATAAATATTGATGCTCCGAGCCTCTGGCTACCACCTCAATTAATTAGCAACAAGACATTTCCAATTCATCGCCTAGGCGTTCTAGGCGTTCGCTTAGGCGCTAGACCCTTATAAATTATGGCGATTATCGCTTTTGCCGCCTAAAAATATTATGATATTATAACAATAAAATAATATAAATTTTCTTATATATAAATCTTAAAATTTTATATATTTGTCTATAAAATGATAAATATAAAAAACAAAATAAATTTTATTAGTTATAAATTATAGTTTTCTATATATTTTATTATATATATCTAATATATTATGTATTTTTGTAAAACACTTAGACCGCCTATTAAATCGCCTAGACTCAAATTAGACGTTTTAGACACTAGGCATTAGTCACCGCCCGCTTAGCGTCTAACACTTTCTTGAACATTGCCATAAATCTTCTATAATTTTTTTTGTAAACTTTCTATAAGTCTTGCTAACATCTCATATTCTAAATATAATAAATATTTTCTTGCCACCAATTTTTATATATTATAACTTTCAGAATATTACAACTACTTTTAAAACTCATGTGCACTTTGCACTCTTCTTAGCTCTCTCACGTAGTCCTCGTTTGCGTCGTTGACGCGAAAGTTGAAACTAATAGTTTTGGGGCCAAACGTAAAAAATATAAATTTATAGGGACTACACAACAATAATGTATACCCCTAAAGAAAAGGGTGAAGGATGACAAAAAAGCAGAAAAGAATGTAACTTTTAAAGAAAGAAGGAAACATGAGAAGCTTCTCTCAAGATTTGCAGAAACAATAAAGATTCTTCAATTCTTCAATTTTGTTATTTTTTTTAAAACCCTTCGAGTCTTGAGTCGTCTTCTTCCTTCGTTTGTTAAAGAAGATGTTGTGTAGAATGGTGGTGGTGACCGGACGGAAGAAGAAACCCGGTTCGGTTCCGGTTTATCTGAATGTATACGATCTCACACCCATCAATGGTTATGCTTACTGGTTAGGTCTCGGGATCTACCACTCTGGTGTTGAAGGTATCGTCTCTGTTTCTGAATTTTCAACGAGCAAGAAAAAAAAAATTGAACTTTCCTCTGAAATTATTGGTGGGTTTTGGTTAAAAGCTTACAACTTTTGAACAGGGGATTGGAATTATGGAAAATTTGGATTTTGAACAGTGGGTTAAAATTACTTTTTAGCCTGTTTCTTTGTTGAAGTAAGAGACT